ATTAGCCTCCGAGCCAGGAAAAAAGACAACCCTTTACTTTCATGGACACATGATCTGGAACACTAAAACCCAGCATAGAACGGAAGACTACCAGACCCAAACAGAAGCCCAGTTTACATACACTTCATGCTCTACACGGTTACTCAACAACCTTCCGCAACAACGCACAGACTGACATTCGCAAACAACAACAAGCGACACACAATCTCAGCCACGCTGAACACCATGCCATCCAGAGTCTCAAAAACAACCTGGACATTATAATCAAACCAGTTGACAAAGGTGGTGCTGTGGTCATTATGAATGAGGCCGACTATAACCAGGAGGCAACCAGACAACTCTCCAACACCATATTTTACAAACCTCCGTCCTCTGATCCCACCTCAGAATACCAAAAGAAATTACACTGTCTCCTTAAAAGCCTCCCGGGAAACAAATCTCGGGAACAAATCCACACAAACACCTTCTGACCCCCGACCAAGATTGTTCTATCTGCTTCCCAAGATCCATAAACCTGGACACCCCGGACGCCTCATCTCGGGTATTGGCACACTCACTACTGGTCTATCCAGCTATGTAGACTCTCTCCTCAAACCCTACGCAACCAACACCCCCCGCTATCTCTGAGACACTACTGACTTCCTAAGGAAACTACAAAACATCGATAACCTCCCCAATAACACCATCCTTGCCACCATGGATGTAGAAGCACTATACACCAACATCCCACATGAAGACGGATTACAAGCTATTAGAAACACTATCCCAGAGGACACCACTGCCAACCTGATAGCAGACCTATGTAACTTTGTTCTCACCCACAATTATTTCCAGTTTGAGAACTTATACCTCCAGATCAGCGGCACAGCCATAGGTACACACATGGCCCCACAGTATGCTAATATATTTATGGCTGACCTAGAACAACGTTTCCTCAACTCCCGTCCCCTTTTACCCCTTCTCTACTTACGCTACATCGATGACATCTTATTGATCTGGACGCATGGCCAAGAAACACTGGAGACATTCCATAGAGATTTCAACAACCTACCCCCCACCATCAACCTCAGCCTGGACCATTCTACACGAGAGATCCATTTCCTGGACACCACAGTACAAATCAACAATGGAAAATTAGACACCACCCTCAACAGGAAACCCACTGACTCATACAGTTACCTACATGCTTCCAGCTCCCATCCAGCACACACCATACGATCCATCGTCTATAGCCAAGCCCCATCTGCTCTAATCCCACTGACAGAGACCAGAAACTTCAGGATCTCTACCAAGCATTTATAAACCTCAACTACCCACC